CATTTAACGTATTACCTTAAATACTACACTTTATGTGACTTTTACTTGACTGTAATCATCCTCGATGTGTTTATAGTATTAACTTAATTATTATAATTGATATCATATGCTTTCATTTTAACCTGAATTTTGTAACTACAGTATATGTTGTCACCACCTTAACGTGTCTAATATATTAATTTAATCATTATAATCGTAATCTTATGCCTTCCACTTAAATTGAATGTAGTAAATACATAATCCAACGTATATATATATGTAAGTGGATTCCCATCAGCATTAAGTAATGAATTGACATTCTTATAAGTATGTTTCATAAGCAAATTATCTTAAGAATGTATTATATTATGTATATTTAAGCATTGCCATAAGTAATGTAAGCAAGATCCTGTACGCGTATCAATAATATGTGTTGCCAGTTGTACAAAATTTCATGCTTGTTTAATCATTGTACCATGGTATTCTGTGCTTTGCTTACTGTACTCAGAAACTTCATTCTTAGTACTCATTCATCTCAGTATGTTGCCATTTTTATCTTTATGTTTTTATTGCATACTACCAAAAAGTGTCATGTAATCAAAATGCGCACTAAGTCATGTCAGCCATAGCACTTCCCTATATTCTTTATTATTTTACTGCTATGTAATTATGCCTTATTGCAAATCGTGTAACCTACTAAGCAAGCATATCTAATGTAGAATTTATCATGCGCTTACTTAGTATTAATAGTTATAAGATAGTTGCATCATTTCGATTTCCGCACAAAATTCCTGAAACACAGCTGTATGTTTTGCATTAAATTAAGAAATTTTGAAACTTATAGTACTATTTGCGAACTTTGTTATGCACTTATGAGCTTTAGTATTAAATACTATTCTTTAGTTACTCACTATTAATCGTTATTAATGTATATCTCAGTATCATTCATTTACTTACCTATTCAAATTTGCAATGTTCTGCATTCGAGTATTTAATTATTTATCTTATAATCCTATATATTATGTAAGCGCATATTATGAAACGCATATATTATGTAATATGTAAATAACGTGTGGCTGCTAGGATCTATTTAATGTTTATAATATTCTGTGTGCACAGCTACTAATGAGTACAATATTTGTGCGGATAGTAAGTTATACAATTTGTTCATTGAGCAAAACAGTAATAATGTTTGATGCTATGTATATATTTTTATATTTTTTTAATGTTATGTGTAATTTTTAGTGCTATGTATAATCTTCATGCTATGTATGTAATCTTCATGCTATGTATATCTTCATGCTATGTATGTAATCTTCATGCTATGTATATCTTCATGTATGTATGTTTAGTATGTGACACGGACAGATACGCAGCATAGATTAAGCCAAAGTTCACCAATAATGATTTGTAGTGAAGTCCGGACACAAGGAGATTCTTCCGGACACCTTACTAACTCAATGTACTAAATTTCATTGCAGTGCTCTTAACCCATTACTGCCGATGGAACATTACACAATCAGAGCAATTGTAATTACACGCGCGTATGAATAATACTCAGCTCAGTACAGCACTTACATCTTTTCATGTAGCAGACAACGTCTGCAAAGGTGCCATTGTAACAACCATTACTGTGAATCGGTAACTTCTGACTTAGACTCAATAAATGCCGCTGGTTTGCGGGGCTCGCCCTGGCAGTGGCGGAAGTAGATAGTAGATAATTTCTACAGGTCAGGCACTATTCCGATTGGTTATACCTGAGGCCGGAAGCCTGGTCTGTAGTGCTCTGCCCATGTACACATCGATCTATTTTCACTTAAAAAATCCCAGAATTGCACAAACTCGGCATTGCGCACCACACTGGCTTTGCCCATGTGCACATCGATCTATTTTCACTTAAAAAAAACATCCCAGAATTTCACAAACTTGACATCGCGCACAGCATTGGCTTTGCCCGTGTGCACATCGATCAATTTTCACTTGAAAAACATCTTAGAATTGCACAAACTCGGCATTGCGCACCACTCAAAATCGTCTATACGTCTCAAAACCGTCTCTCTACTAGTTTCATATTTGTTCCACAAATTGGGCACTTATACGATATTGGCAATCAAACTTTTCTCCATACACCACTCAATAACGCTCTTTTTTGCCTCTTCGCTCCAACTGATTAAAACAAATCCATATTCAGATACTCATCCTATTCTGCAGTAAGCACCAGATTTTGACACACTCATCAATAATCAAAACATTCTTTAAGGAAAAGAATTCTTTTCTGTATTTTCAGAAGTTACGGTTATAATTTTTAACTCATGCATTCAATATTTTCAATCGTTTGGTAATGATCGTTTTCAATCGTTTGGTATCTTAATAATACATTTGTCAGAGATAATTCATTGCGTTAAATGCTAACACTACCACACACCACACAAAAGTAGATTTATAATTAAAAAAATCTCGCGCAGAACATTATAAACCTACCATTTCAACTCAGTTAAAGCTTCATTTAAGTTTTCTTTAAATACGAAGCTATAGCATACTTATAACTTGTTTTTAAGGAGAGGCGTAACCAATATTACGTCATAAAAAGGCGTGTCCAAGCATAAGAGAAGTAAACACAGCATCGACTGATGCAGCCTATTCTGCGATTTAGCCCAGTATGATGTATTATGAAATATAATTGAAATAAAATTCCTTTATAGAAATTATGCTATAATACTCATCTATAATTTTAAAAAGCAGCACAATTTAGAATTTTAAACGAAACTTTCAAAAATTCGTTTTTAAATATTTTAATATTTTTTACTTATTTACGCACAAAAAAACGCTTAAAAACGCTTTGTACGCTTAAAAAGCATACAAATCGCAAGAGAAAATTGCTTGTTTGAAATTTTCTATCAGTTCAGATTTAAAATATTTTTTTCTAAAAGAAGTAGTTACAAATTTCCTTACAGCATAGGAAAAGCTAAAAAAATATCCAGCCCTGAAAGCATGCCATAGCTTTATAATTATTTGGAACGATAATTATGCTTGATAAATATGCTAAATTTTTAAAAATCAATCTCAATTTCAAAAATAAAAATATGCAGAAATTCTAATCTGTGAAATAAGGCGCTACAACCAGCTTTTTCTTGACAATTATACACGCTACAATAGGCAACCAATGTTAAATTTCTGCAAGTCGTCCCTACTCTTCCTCATGTGATCAAGGTGACAGCCGGCAACACCTCAGACGAGGGAGAAAACCCGTTTGCGTTAGTATATTTCTTATCACAGTGGCTAATCGCATCGACGGTGCGAATAGCTAACAGTCTATTCACACCACTTACGTTAGCACATTCGCACAAGCAGCCCAGGTACCAGCATTTTACGCCGATTTTCGTAAGGCAGGCGGTAGTGAGAGCGAATGCTGTTAATAGTTCACCAGCAAGAGAATAATTCGCAAGTAATAATTATCAGTTACAAAGACGAGGTCAATCTATATACATGATAATGTTCAGGAAATGATTACATAAAATAGGGATTTAATGATGGTTCTAATTGCAAGCAAGAACGAGTAATTAGTTAAAAATCTTTAGTGTATTGACAAAAAAGCTACAGAAATTACTTAAATTCTTTTATTTAACAGAGGAATTTTTATGCAAATTTAGAATTTTTATGCAGTTAGAATTTTATGCAAATTCCTATAGCATAGGACTGTCAGAATTTATTATTCAATAAGAAAACTTACTGAAAATGATAATATTCTTATATATTCATTACGTTTTCAGTATCCACACAGGTTAATAGGTTCAACTGCCTTATTTCAAAATCAAAGTTATTTATGAAATAAAACCTTACAAAATCTCATAAATCAATGTGTGTGCAAATTTTAAATCTAAATCACTTACATTAAATTATTTCTAACTTTTAAATTACATCCCATTATTTATTTCAATTTTATTGATTAATGTGTTTGTACTAATATTATATTTCAAAGTTCTTTGAAGCACTTTTTGTGTCCTGAAAATGCCAAGTATGTCCATAAAAAAATAAGCAGACATACAGAATAATTCATTTAATAGTTGATATAATCGCTTTTAACTTATTTCATGTCTAAATTTTCTACACAGAAATCCTCTGTCTAATTTTTAGTATCTTTTATCGGACGAAATTTTTCAGAGAGGAATAAATTAAAGTCTTGATTGCGCAAAACACATCTGTAAAGCTAAATGTATTCTAAGAAGTACAAAAAAATGTAAACAAGATTTTGTCCATCCCAAATCAGATATTTAAACTATTCAAACCGTTCAGGGAAAGGATAAACATTACGAACATAAAAATCTGCCCTTTTTTATATATACTTTAATAAAAGGAAATGTGTTCCTTCTTTTTATAAGAAAAGGAACCCATTTTCCTTTCTAAACTTTTGAAAGTCACCAACGCTTAAAAAATGATAAACTACGCCAAAATAGAAACCCGCATTTAAAAAAAAAAAAAAAAAAAAAAAGGATTCACTACAACAGTTCGCGTACGTAGAATCCGTTCCTTTCGATGGGGTTTAATTGACGGATCTGACAACTCAATGCGCATGCATGTTTAATGTTGGTACGAATAGCTTAAGCGGCTAATCGCACCGGTGGTGCGAATAGCATCGGCCATTTCTTATAAGGTCCATGACACGTAATTCTAATGTCACGTGACCTCCCTGCGTGTTTGGGGATTCAGAGCGCTGAAATCGCGATTTATTAATACATCTGGTTCCTAAGCTTGATTTTTCGGCGAGTTGGTAAAAGGACTTCACGGGTGCAAAACAAGACATCTGTCTGCTTTCAAGGAATGTAAAGATTTTTTCTGCTACATGTCCGTCTCCCTGTTTTTAGTTAAAATATAGATCTGAGTTCCATTACCCTGGAAATTACAGTGTTTTTCTGTAAGGTATATGTATTATTTATATATTAAAGATATTTATTCAGGGTATATTTGATGTCATTGTAACTATTATCAGCCAAAAATAATTATTTAAACTCTTTTCAAATAAAATTTTAACTGTACTAAATTTTATTCATGTTATTTTTTTAGATGTATAATTAAGGAACAAAGTGTTCTATGTATTTAAGTATGAAGTCTTACGTGTAATTAGAAAAAAAAAGAAAAGAAAACGTTTATTTACATTTCACGTGTCTGAGGTCTTTGTTCTATTAAATATCAATTAACAGTGTGGATTCGTCTCTGAATCCGTGTGACCGCACTGTGTGATAACTATACTTTCTGCGAAAAAAAAAAAAAAGTACTGTAATGTTTTTACAATAATTAAAATGTCTTAGTTTAATTTTATTTAGGAATAATTTTATGTGCACAATTTATGGTATATATATATATATATCAAATATAATTCGTGCCATTTGCTCTGAGGTAATGTGCATGCAATAAAACAGCAGGTTACTCATGAAGATAATTTTGTCTTACATATCGCATCATAATTTTTTTTTTGTTAAATCATTGTACAGCATTCTAGCTTAAAATGTGCTGCATTGAATAAAAAGAAGAGGAGGACTACTAGTGCTTTGATTTTTACATTTTAATATGTGTGAAAATTTCAGCTTCAAATTATATTCAAACATTATTATAGAGATGAGTTAGTTTATACATCTTCAGTATTTGTAGAGTAGCACGTATATACTTATTCCAAAAAAATAATTGCGAAAGTAAATATAAGTAACCAAATATTTTTAGTGTTTAGCAGGAAGTATTTAATAGTAAGATTTTTTCATTCAGATATGATTAGACAGATTACGATAGCTTATGCCCCCGGAGATCTTAATGGCCTCCCTAAGAAAGTGTTTAAAGACTATACAGATATAGATATATAAACATTAAAAAAAAAAAAAAAAAAAAAAAGAGGCTCAAAACATAATAAAAAGTACTTAATAGATTAGGGATTTTATTTATTTTTAAACATTATTAACATTTTTTTTCTATGCAAACATATTCTTAAGACTTTTATTTTGACATTTTTTCTGCAACATTAAGTTTAAATTACAGAAAAATTGACATTATGTTAAAAATTATAATCATTAAAATACTAAAATTACATAAAAATTGAAATTATATTCATCAAAATACTAAAACATTTTATTTGATATTTTTAAACTGGAATAACCAGGCAACGATCTTTCTGGGAGGAACTAAAAGTTGGAGCAGTGAAAAAGTTCAGAAAAGAATTTTTATATTTTAAGAAGTTGATGACCATTCCTTTGCAGATTTTATCTCCTGAATTAGACAAATTTCCATCAAACTGCATTGAAAATTTCAATATTATTTTTACTTTATATATTTAATTCTTAATAGCGAGTTTTTATGTTATGCTATATAAATTATTGTGAATAATCAATAAATGAAAATTCATACATTATTCATTAATAATGAATAAAAATTATATTAATAGTAAAGTTTTCATTCAGAGTAAATGATTCAGCAGGAAAGCTTCCCTTTATATGGCAGGTATTGTTTTGTTATTCTGGTGTTAAAATGTTGCTATAGTTGCTCCTCTTCACCAAACAATTGCTGATGATGGTATCATTTAATGAAGCATTTAAATGATTTTGATAATCTTTTTTTTTTTTTTTTTTTTCTTAAAGTAGGGTAGACTCGATTATGGTGACATGTTGGGGGCTTTATTCTCTGTAAAATACTGAATTGAAGAATTGAATTACTATCATAAGTACTTTTTCATATTTACACATTTTCTTTTGCAAAGGTATAATTTCCCAGTTACAATAATATATATGTATTTGTATATTTTATTATTAACTTTTAACTGCTATTACAATTTTTTCGGCATAATTACTGTGTGTTACTAGACCACTTAAAAAAGTAAAGGTAAAAGGTAGGACAGGGACCATTCTCCATTTTTAGGTGTGGAAACAATGGTTAGAAAATCTTTAGCGGTCTCTGAGACCGCTCACAGTAGTTAAAGGTTAACGATAAATATGGGGTTTTCTTCCGCAAAGGATCCGTTGGCGCCGATGCATGTTTATTCGCCAAGCTCACCAACAGCTAATCGGCCATGATTTTAGCGGTATATAGTCATAGAATATGTATTGTTAGAGACATTCTTTGGTATAGTTAAGTTGCAAGATATTTTATCATATGGAAGCCATGATTTTAGCTGTGTACAAGTCAAGTTATAAGATATATAGCATATAGAAGTAAAATGAATAGGTTGATAATGACATTTAGCTGTGTATAGTTAACCCGGAAGGATGCAGGATGTATTATTTAACACGAGAACGCGTGTCGCAATTAAATGACATACAAATGAAACATATTATTACAGTTCAGTAAAATAATGCATTCTGTATTAATTGCAACATTTATTATATAAAATAACTTTAAAATAATGTTAATTTTAAAATTAACATTATATAAAATAGCTTAAAAATAATGTTAATTTAAAATTAATAACAAATTAAAGTACTTACATTTTCTTCAGATGACTGGGAATCATTGATTTCTATGAGAAATTTGTGTTTTTTTTATTTTTGAATGCAATTATAATCCAAATTATGCAGAATTATTACATGGATAATGAGTTATATAATTAATTTTCAAATCAATTAGGCTCGAGAAAAATTAGGTATTTTGTAGTTTATACATGAAGCTTCTATTTCACAGTGTTCTTGACATATTTTTTTTACACTTCACACATACAGTTTTTGATTTTCTGTCTTTTTTTTTTTTTTTTTTTTTTCTTGAGCACATGTAACATCTCCGGTAACATAATTTTCTTTTCTTTGTTTGTGAATCTTCAAGAGAATCTTCCATTACATTCCTACTGTTCCTGTTATGATTTCAAATGAGGATCTAAAAGTGCAAAGGCCAAATCAGACGTGCCTTCCTATTCCTGAACTTCTCTGGTGGAGTTTTAGTTGATGAAAGCAAGATCCTTGATTTTATGCCGGCAATATTTAATAGCGAAAAAAATATGCCCATCAGTTTGATATTCTGGTCACAGAATAAGTGCCACCCATTTCGTCGACTATATCAACTGCTCCTTTTGTCATGTTATAAAACATAATTACTTCTTCAAATCTCCTGTGCTTTCATCAATATGGTCATCATTGTGCATAGTTGACAAAAGGTTAACACATTTGTTCTTTTCAGTCATATAAGAAAGTAGCATTATATCCTTTTGAAACCCCAAGAGAGTCGAATGCTGTTCTCTATTCTTATTCGACACAAATTCAGGTGGGATAATCTTATCCTTGCATGTTGTTCCCATGTTCAAAGTATAGAAGGATCTAAAATCAACCACAGTAAATATCTTTATACCATATCTTGCAGGTTTCTTAGGCATATACTGCCAAAAGAAGCATTGTCCTCGAAAAGGTTCTAGCTTTTCGTCCAAAGTCATGTATTTCCCCTACATGATATAATTTCTGACAATTCTTGACAAAATTTTCGAACAAATCTCTTATTGGAGCTAATTTATCACTCTTTCTTCTGTCATTATGTGTTCCAACATTATCGAATCGTAAGGCACGAAGAATGAAAAGAAAATATATAGTTCATATGTTTTATGAAAAATATCCAATCTTGTTCCATTAGTCGCCCATAATTCTCTAGCATTTACACGGGAGGATTTGTGCATCCACCTACGTATGATTCTTAAAATAGCAAGAAACTCTTCTTTCTCCATAGGTTTTGCGTCTTTTTTAAAATTTCCCAAAATATTTTTTTTTACATAAATATTAGAGCATCTCACAATCATTTCAATCATTATGTCATCAATATTAGCTTCTATGCATCGATGGATGAAGCCACACCTTTAGATATATGTGTATTGCCAGGCAATTTTTTTATGATATTATGGGAATTTTTTAATTTGAAAGTGTTTTTTCTTCCATTTTGTTGTTTTATCTTTTCCTACAAAATAGTCAGTTTAATCACAAGGAATGTCTTCTGTAGAGTCGCACTCTGTTTCTGATTGAGACTGATAATCACTAAATATATTGTAAAGTATTTTGCAGTAATTGACAAAATAACAGATGATCTTAATAAAACATAAATTTTATTTTTAGTTTAGGGAGATAGATAATTTGAATAAAATTCTTTAGTGGCAAAATTTTCATACAACTACTAGCTGGTAAAACTTCAGAATTCTCATTTTAAACAATTTCTTACGTTGCTGAGCAATGGTTACATCATACAAATATGGCATTGCCACTTCAATAATAAATATATATTTATTTGTTAAATAACAAAATATTGTAAGAAGCCTTGTAAGAAGGTCCACCTCTGAAAAGATGTTTGGAAACTTATAAGAAATGATGTTCTGCAAATTTATCTTAAAATGGACCTAATTCAATGCTATATACATTAGTGCAATTTTATCCAAAGTGAGAATGGAAAAAGCAGTATTCTCATTTCCATTTATGAAGTAACCAATGCTCTTGACAAATTAATATGATGATAATTCCAGTTCCAGGATATCATTGAAATTATTTCTGCTTATAACAGATAAGGGAAAACCTATGGTGAAATTAAACATGACATCATTTTCTTCTGAATGATGCAGCCATACATATGAAAAGGCTGATGAAACACTTCTCCAAATGTTCTATCTGAAATGAGTCGTAAATGCTTTGCGTGAAAAGTTCATGAATTGTTGCCAGATGTTGACAAACCTATTTTTATTCTAAGAAAGATATTTTTAAATCTCTGTTATAGTGAGAGTCTTTGGAGAGATTGCAGCTGATATATTAGTTTTGACAAAGTGGGTAACATGGTCAAGTGAGATTGTTATTATGCCAGGCAATAATAACTTTAGAGGGCATGACAGTGTGATGGCTCAAGATACTGAAGATTCAAACTTGGGTCAAACTACCAGTATTCAGCAATTGTATTGCTCAACTGCTTGTGAACTTGAACAAAAG